AAGCCATGGAGGCCTGGTGTGATCTTCCAGCAGAGTGGACAGCGGAGTGGACGCATCAGAGATGGATAATATTATTACTTATTATATATTATAATAGTATATATGTTCAAATGTGTACTTGGTTCTTCAGCGAAACTGGACCGAACTTGAGCGGACCGCGAGGGCCGGTTTTCGGTCAGACCGGTCCTCCCAGTCGAGAACGCGAGCGGAGGGCCACCGAGCGACATGGCTTTCCAGCCGATGTGTGCAGATGGTGGCGTGTTTTGTGATGGTTGTGGCAAGTTCATCCATGTTCATCCCATTCTGAGACCAAGATGAATGAAGAGCTAGAAGGTCGCAAATAGTGTGAGGAGTGAACATCGAAACAGGTTGCAATCAAGAGGAGGTTCCTGAGCCCTCCAGGCCCATGTGTATGTGTCAATGCAGTGCCGCCCGAATCCGCGGACGGTTCGACTCCGGTTTGACCATGGAAGCGCGCCATGGGAACAACCCAATCCCAGACACTCCATGGGACTGCCATCTATGCCTACATTGACCCCGACTTCAACCACCCCAACTGATCGGTAAATATGCGTTGCATAGAGTATTTGGGAATGGGATGTTTTTGTGGGGGTTTCCCGAAGACCCCACCGCGGTCCGCATCCCCAACACCGACGGGTCGCACGGGTCGCCCGGGTCGGTGTGACACTGCTCGCGCCCCAAGCCGTCGACGACGTGGGTCGACCAGGCGGCGCAAGAAGTCTTCGGTATTTGGATCTTGAATCGTCAGAAGAGGCCAGTCTTCGGTTTCAATCGGGTTCCATGGGTTCGACGGATTGGGTTTTGGGTGACCTGGGGATGGCTGGAATATGCTGGAATGAAGGTGAGGTCAAATAGGTTCAAGAAGTGGCAGAGTGCTTTTGAACTTGAACAATGTGCTGCACCATTCACATAGTATATATATATATTATATTTATATACATCAATCCATTGTTATTTGTCCTATTCCAATCAATCATTTATATATATATGCAAATTCATGCGTTCTAATGATTGTTTTCTATTGTTGTCTTTCTTCCACCTCTTTGATTAGTTGGTGGAAACCACACCTGTGACACTTCGACTGGTTGGTCCTGTGACCTGGTTGGAACAATGCCTTTATGCATTCGATAGGTGGGCCACTGGACAGTTGGAACATGGAGCATCACCGGCTGTTCTTTTGTTTAGAACTGTTTGGCTGTGACTCATTTGCTGTGACTCATTTGTGAACAAACAGTAAATGATGGTTGAACTAATATCGTTGCGGGTTCAACGCGGCAAACGGGTGAATCCCCTGCTGTTTTACCGTCAAAACCACTGGTGACACTCCCAAATGACTATATTACTTGTAGGCTGCAAGCAGCTCACTGGGTTTGACCCAGTGACTTTGCAAGCACCAGATGGCATTTGACTATTGCTTGGTTGATTGTATAGTAGCAGGGGATACTGGGGATACCCGAGTGTACAACCATAGGAATGTGATTGATGGCGAACGGTATACGTTTACTTCTTTTGCAGGCTGTTCCGCGGTGTCCATGGCAACCTGAATCCATCGCTTTGGCGTCCCTCGGTAGTTTGAGAAGGCAGCGACGGAGTAGAGAGCCTGTTGATGTTTGGGAATCTGCAATATGTGGGTGTAAACCATGTCATACAGGATCCCAACTTTGCTTGCAAGTTCTTTGATTTAGCTTCCATATTGGTGAACCCAAGAGTCCAATTCACAATGGAGATTTTTTTGGGGGGTTCTTGAGTGCATATATGCATCCTCCGTTGTGCCATATGCATCCATGCGAGCTCCCTACCAGGCCGTTCTAGCCTGGTGGAAAGATCAGACTTCCATTTGTCGTGCTGGCGTTCATTACATCTTGCACATACGGTTTTTCATCAACTATCAGGACCGGGGACATCTTTCCCAAGCATTTACACACTTGGCCATCTTTACGTAGCGGACTATATGATCCACAAAAAACATTGCAATCACCGAACCATTTTCTAGTTGCCTCGTCACTACCCTAGGGCTCCAACCATATCCTCAGAAGGTGGTTAGACCCCGCACACCCACCCTAACCACCTTCTGAGGAGGCCAGGAGGTGTAGGGATACCCCAGAGTAATTGCTTCATCCGATCCTGAAGAACGGGTGATTTTCACTGGGACCCGAAAGTCGACCTGTTCGTCGCACGAGGGTAGGTACGGCCGGTCCGTTCGGTGGTTTTTCCACATGCGTGTTGTCTCAGCCGTTCAGCCAAGACATCTCCCAGCAAAGCTATCCACTTCAATGGCTGCTGCGAACCTATTGGGCTAACAATGCTCACTATATAGCCGCCTTCAATTCTGCGAAGCTATTGGGCTGCATCACTCTACACTACTCACAAAAAAACGCACGACTGGTGTCTTCAGGTCTGAACTTCAGCGCCACCGCTGTCTGTGGGTATACGCCGTCGTCGGATGGCTGCCCCACGGATGGTGGTAGCTCTCCATAGCCACATGTTGGGTTTCATCATTCCCAAGCATTCATTCGTGCTTTGGTTGAAATAGAAGGGAGCATGACCGGCAAAAGATGTTTCATTTGACTATATATTGACTTGCCACTTGCCTATAGCGACATTTGTTCGTTCGCTTGCAACAACCCCAGAGGTCACGAATCAGCCAATCCCAAGAAATCACGACACAACATCGAGACACATTCGACCAGACCCAGGTCGTCCCGGACCCAGCCCTATACTACTGCCTTTCGGCGGCACCGAGGCTGGTACCATCGCCACGGCTACTGGGCCACGCGGCGGAAGATCATCGACTTCGGCACCAAGAGGCTCCGGGGCACGTGGGACAGGGCGGTGGGAGAGGGTGGGAGGTGAGGAATGCCAATCGGGAAACAGAGGATTTGGGAGTCAGTATGGTACGGTTGTGCCATTTAGATATGTGGTTCAGCCGTAGCCTAGGCCTATAGGCACTTTGAGATTCGTGACTCTGACAGGACAACTGGTCGATGGACGGGACATTGTAAGCAATCTATGGTTCTGACTTGTGCAGGGAAGATGGGTCTCTGGACGCGAAAATCGGCAGCCAAAATCGGCTCAGGATATGGTCACCTGGGTCCGGGTGTTGCTCACATCGCGACCGGGAACCGTGCTACCACGAAAGGTGCCCTCGCCGAAGATCATCCCATGTGCCGCGGGAACCACCGCGCGGTACCGCGCCGCGGTTGCTGCAGGGCCCATCGTTACAATCAAGTGGAAGGCTTTGGCAAGCGAAGTGAAGGCGCAGCGGCCCTGGCCAGCCTGGTGTGGGCCGAAATTCAAGAGAGTTCCGGAGCTGTTTGGTGCTGAGGGGACGGGAGGGGAGGGGAAAGGGATGCGAAGCAGATCCCAAGCATGAAACAAGTGCTGCCAGTGGCACCTGGTGGAAAAGCAACATTTGATCGCAATAGCAGGAGTCAAATTGCTGGATACCAAGACATGATGAGACATACTTTGTTTCTGAGAATTCATATTATGTAAAAATATGCAAAACATATATACTTTGAAAACGGGATGGTCCACCTACTTCGATGCTTTGAGTGAATTCCTTGACGAAACCAGATACAAGGCTGCAAGGCTGTCCCTTTTTCGCATGTCCAGAAACAGTGATCAAGGTCTTCTTTGCTTACATTTGTTTTGGTTTCATCAGGACATATCAGGACTCATCTTGCTATTTTCCACCGGCCCGGCCTTGCCCTGGATGTTCGCACTCTGAGAAGACTCTGCGGTTCACCCGGATCAGGACCCGTCACCGACCAGCCCTGTGGGCACCTGGTGTTTCGCCCAATTCCGGCCCAAGTGACAGGCTACATGCGGAAGTTCGCGGCATGGTTCGGGCTCCCGGCCATCTCCTTTGTTGGTTCGGTCGCTTTGATGTACGGAAGACATGGCGCCAAGGTGTTCAATGCTTCATCCGAACGCAGGGACCGTAGTGAGAAGTTAGTTGGTTCCTTTTTTTTTCCTTAAATCATTGATGGACTTCAAGCAACAAGGTCATTTAGCATTTGTCCCCGCAATGTTGCCAGCGAGATTTGTTTTGTTGTCCCATCTTGTAAGTCTTCGTGTTGGATTTCATGTTTGTCATCAACCAAGCACTTCAATTCTGGTAGAGCATCATCCTTTGCCGCACTCAGTTTGCGGGTGGTTCTTTTGTATGGGAATGTTCAATATGCCTAGCAAAACAGAAGCTAATAGGTCAATTCCATTTTTGTGCTCCTCTTCCAGTTCTCCATCTTCGCATCCTGTGAACAACCTAGGTATTTTGCTTCGCCCGTTGTCCGGCCTTTGATGGCTTGGCCGTTGCTTCAGGTGGTGTGACAAGTCCTACTATCGGCCCTTAAAGAACTACAGCCGCTTCTGAACACATGGACCGACTACGTCCGGTCGAGAGGTCGGATCTCAGAAGTCGGGTGCCAGATGCTTCCTCATGCTTTGCAAGTCCTAAACTCTTTAGGTTCAAAGTTCCAGAAGTCATTTTTGAGGGATGGGGTTTTAATGAACTGCGTGCAAACAATGTGCATGTTTGCTTATTTTTGCTAAGAATTCAGATGAGGGCTTGGTAAAAGATGTTCTTTTCCCGCTGCTGAATCATTCTGATTTAAAATCAAAGCATTGTGACACGCTATTTGGAAAGACAATTGTACATATGTTGGATTGGACATGTTGGAACATGGGTCACAGACTTGGCTGACCTAAATAAAGCAAGAATAGATTACACTTACACACTCACACAGACACCAAACATGAAGAGAACGGTCTAATGGGGAGTTTCATGGATCGTCACTTGTCATTCTCCCTTTGGGATAAGATGGAAGAGGCGTTTGAAAAGACACTGTACTTGGCAAATTGGGAGAGATCCGAGGTGTTGGTTGTTAAAGATCTATCAGATATATAGGCAGGTAGCAACTGTATAAAAGGAAAGCGTGTATTACCCCATGTCAACATATCAATCCATTTATGTCCTTCTTTACTACGAGGAGGGTTTCAGCTTGTATGGTCATGCCATCCCATGAAGAGACCGACGGTTTGACCCGAAGCGACTCCACATGAAGTGCCCTGCGAGTGCTCTGCGAGTGCTCTGGTGCAAGGAGAAAAGCATGCGACTGTCGCCCGAGATCATGTTCAATCTCCGTCCAACCTACTAGCGATGGCCTCCAACCTAAGAGCAATGGCCTCCAAGCTACTAGCGATCAAGATAGGGTTCCGGATCGAGATTCACGTTGGATCTGCCACCATGTTTGCGAGCTTTATCTCGCACGTCCAAATGGTCACTATGATCAAATGTTGCATGATTTGCTGATAATTTAACAATGCTGAGTTTGGGTTTCCTTTGCTACAGATCTACCCTCATAGGCAATAAAGAACCTGTGTACAGGCCCTTCCCACCAATCCATGCATTTTAGCTTTGACAGCAGGGATCTGCTGGTATGCAACACGATGCCACGTGTTCAGTGGAGTGACCCAGAAAGAAAGCCATGTTCTTCACGTGTTCACTTCGCTTCGAACAGCCCTCTCGCTTGACGTCAACGACCGGTGAAACCGTCGCTTCTTGACACGTGACGTCATTGCGACCGGCAGCACTCCGGTTCAGCGGACCGGACTGGTATTGAGGAACACGAGCAACGCTCCACCCGGGGTGTTGAGACCGAAAAAGACATGGGGTTCGGATGTCATGGACCTTTGGAAGAGGATTTTCCTCTACAATCACCACCAACCTCGTGGGTGAATTCTTCGGTATAGGAAGCATAGGATGGATGGCATGGTACCGAACCTGGAGGAAGCGGAAACCCCAAATGCATGGTGCAACTTGGCCAGATCCATTTCGTCTCCAGCTCCAGGAGCTTCCCAATTCCAGCCGTATTTTAGGCCAACTATATCGACATGGGAATGCTGCGCATAGATATCACTGTCACCTGGTGAGCCATGCTGGACTACCCGGTGACTACCCTTGTTCTACACCCCATTTAGCCGGTGACTACGGTCCAATCCTTGGCTTTCGCTGGTCCAATTGGCAGCTCAAGTCGACTCATCTATCACCGCATCGCAACGCGCGGGCTACACAAAGAGCGAAATGCTTCTGGACAGCTCTGTGGAGATTCAGGTGAAGAGCCGAAAGCGGAGAGGGAGGAGGGCATGTGGATTCAGATGTCGGGGATCATGTCAGGGTGGACCTTTTTCCACTTGAGTTCCACTCGTGATCCATCTGGAAACGGACATACCCAGTCAAACAGTAGATCCACTAGAATCACAGAGTGGATCCATCACCCGGGGTTCTGAAATGCCCACATCTTCCACGCACTCTTAGAAGACACCCCCCACCGAAAAGTGCCAGAGACCATCTGCTTCCGCTTCCGCGTTCGGCTCGCGAAGCTGGGCTAAATCTGGTGATTCCAGAGTAGCTCCGTTGGGTCCTTTAGGGTTGAAAGGATATGAAACGAAGCTGCCACGTTTGTTTTGGTGTGCTCAACCGGCCGCAGTTTAAGTGGTTTATATATGTTTATATAGGGTCCATGCATGGATGAACAAACTCCAGTGTGACCCCAGAACTGTGATTTCCGCAAACCGCTTCCACCGATGCATGAAGCAATCCCATGAAGCCTAAGAGCACCAAAACCGTGCCAGGTCATAGTCCGGATTCGTCTAAGAAAGCCCAAACTCGAGCTTTTGAGGCATATAAATATACAACATGCATCAATCTACTCACCTGCCATCAGCGGATAGATCTACCCACGACCTGGACCTAGTGGTTCTACCGCGATGGCCAGGTCTTTGGACTCGATGGTGATCATTTCACTCTGACGATGCCTGACTCCACCACTGGACAAGAGCTGTGCTGGAGGATCTTGGAGCGCTTGCCAGCCAAGCGCGGCGTACAAATCCTGGTGCAGACGCTGATCCAAATGTTGAGTAGTCCGGGTGTCAACCCGCTGATGTTAATTCCTGGTTTTCGTATTTTGAGACAAAGCCTGACAAAGCCATGTGTTAAAATGCTGCCAAATGCTTGGTCTTTGTTCCCTTCTTGGTAGATACTAGTAGGTCAGACTAGAATACATTGAAGTGCGGTAGGATGCCCGTATCGACCAGAATGAGCAAGGTAGAGACGCAATTATTTGCTAACTATGATTTATGATTGCCCATACCCCTAATTACATACAAACCCCTCTTCCTTCCTGCTCAAATCGTTACGCTTGTGTTTTCTTCTCACTTTGCCTACTGAATTCAGGCTTCAGACTGCAGACCCCTGTGTTGTGAGAAATAGGACGAGGTCCGTTCGCCGAACTTCCGGACTACTCCTGGACGGGCACGAGACGATGTGTTTCTGGCCGCCATGAATGACGACCTGCCGTCACCCACAAGGGATGGAGGGATGGGTGTCCTTTTGGGCTACGCGAGCCGGAGCTGTGTTTCATTGGGCGACACCCAAAACGACGAACGTGTGTAGCCTGCCAATGTTCGTAGCTCACGAGAATAGTCAGCCGGGTGGCAGCGGTTCTAAAGCGGGCACCTTTTGAAATCCAAAGAAATCGTTTTTTTTCTCCAGATTCTGTTGCTAATGTAGAGCCGGGATGGCTTGCGTTAGTCCATGTCAGTCCATTGCATTCAGGATTTGTTGCTGCAAAAAGATCCAAACCCAGTGCGCTAAGTCAATCATACCAAACAGTTCAGTTTGCCCAACACGAAGAATTTTGGTGTATCTGAATTTGGGGTGGCGCAGCACGTTCTATCAGCGCATTCTCAAGCTCCGAGTTAGGTGAGATACACTGTTGTTTTTTCATGGTTGTTTTCTTCTTCTGCCCGCACGGTCCAGGGCCGGACTGACCATCCAAGCTGACGTCCGCAGATTATCATACTCGTCGGTCCTTCCAACCTTCCAACCCCAGACACGACGTGTCTGAGACTGCCATAGGACTGCCAGGGATGGACTGGGGGTCTGTCTGGGGCGGCAGTCCGTCCTGGCAGTCCGATGTTTTTGAGGAGAGGCTCCGAGACGCTGCAGCACGTGCCGCACCGACGACTCCACGAGTTCCACGACGAGTTCGCGCGCACCTCGGACGGCCACGCCGGCCCTTCGCACGTGCCACACGTGCAGCTCTCCTACGTCTACGTGCCGGTGAGCTTGGGCCATGCTTGGACGCTGGGCACGCCGGACTGAGAACGTGGGTGACGCTTGGGCCAGAGTCGATATGAACAAAGAAGGTGGAAGGCGGCTGTGTAACCACGGGTGTGGTGTGGAAAGGCGGGCTGAAAACAGTAGCATATGTAACACAAAGTATCTCAGTATTATACAGCATTTATAAGGAGAGTTTCAGCTTCGGCTCTAGGGTTTTGCCTGGACCTGCAGCTAGATTTGGTAAAAGAGAAACCTACCCATCCGAACCCAGAATGCCTTTGTTCCGGAAAGCTCCAAATACGGAACAACCCAATGTTCTGCTGATGCCCTCAGGGCAGCTCTGCTCGCCTACGCAGGTTGCCTCTTTGGTGAGGGAAGATTCATACTTTCATAAAGAGGTTTGATCACTGATGTTCATTGGGCTTGTCCTATTACCTGTAACAGTCGGTAAACAATGAACATCACGATTTTGGAGAAAGGCCTGCAATCTAATGATCATCATCCAATGAAACCTGGCAATAGGATAGACCTAGCTGCTGTTCATATTCGGCTCTCAGGTTTCCCAGACCAGCCGGCGGAATGACTTTTTTCAGGTCACGGGTGCAGTAAGTAGTGGTCATGGGTGGGAGACAACGCATCAGATAATTTGGAGGCCATCGCTCTTAGGTTGGAGGCCATCGCTAATAGAAACAAAGATTATCCCGGCAAGAGACCCCAAACGTGTGTCTGTGAGGTCTAGAGGTGTAGCAGCAAAAACTCTAGAGATCTAGTGGGCATTGGGGACCAGAGAGGTGATGGTGAGTGTGAGTGAGATTGAGAGTGAGTGACAATGAGAGTGAGAGTGAGAGTGAGTTTGAGCGTGAGTGAGAAAGAGAGTGAGTGTGAGCGTGAGCGTGAGCGTGTGTGAGCGTGAGTGAGAGTGAGAGTGAGAGTGAGCATCTGAGAGCACAAAGTGCTGCACCTGCCACGAAAGCTGCACTTCGAGGTTCACAAAGTGCCGTGCCTGCCACGAACATCTGCACTTCGAGGAAGAAATAGCAGTGAATTAGCCGGACACGTCGGCGCAACACCTCGATCAGACACCGGTGCTTAACCATTACCGTAAGAACCCCTAGTGTGTCCACACTGCTTGGGCAAAAAAGGAAAGGAAGAAAGATCTAAGGTCTAAGACAATTCGATATATAGTTTGCATTTGTTCTTCCTTTTGGGGCTGGTGGGTGGAACAAACATGATTAAACTTGCGACAATTTCGGATTTAATTTGGACGTGTGACACTTCGGAGCTCGTCTTTGTTGGGAGATTTTGTTAGAATGCCAGTTGAGGAACCATTTGCAGGGTGACTCCATGGATGTCTTTGCGCTGCAAGGGGTGACGCGGTTGATTGGCCTGCCCAACCTGGCAGTGCTCTCGTCCTTTTGTGGAAGCCTCGAGATTTGGCACCGATTGGTGGTACTTGTTTGGTCAAGCGCAATGGTGGCGCCACTGAAAAACCATAAAACACCTATAATTATAATTAGAACATGTGAGTGTGTGCTTCTATATGTTTTACTACAGGGAGACCCCAACCAATGGGTAGACTGATCTATTTCCCTTCTTCCAGGGGGTCGTTGCCTGGGAGCTTATTTTAATACACACCCATTACACACTCATTTGAGACTACCACGGGTCATGGAAGGGCATGCGGCTTTTTGGGGTTCCCACGTCCCAAAGATGGGATGTGTGCCCATCCCCAGACAGTCCATGGCCATCCCAAGTGTCGACCCCCTTTCAACAACTCCGATGGATATGCTACACATGGAGTGCTTGGGCATAGTGGTTTGGGTCACTTGAGGGCTGTGTGTGTTTTTGGTATTGAATCGGCTGTTTATGTTCAATTTCAATGACATCCAGCAGATCAACTACCATAGACCAACCGTGACAAGATTGGGAGGAGCCAATATTTCAGCCACTGATACGTCTTACATCGTCTTACCATCTATCAGCCAATAAAGCATGGCAAGATTTGTCGATGAGAGATGGTAAGACGTAAGATATTTGATTTTTTTCAAGTCCCTGAAAGCCAATCCAAGGAGACGTTGAGCTTCGATGACGAGTTTAATGAGCCGTTGGAAGGAGCCATGGATGTAAACAATGAGGATCAAACAGCACGTTTTTGCATGTGTTCCATGTGAGATAAGGATTTCTTGTGGAGTGGGTCAAGGTTTGGAGTGTATATAAATGACCTATATAAATGTAGGTGAGCATTTGGCTCAAATCCCAAAGGATACTGTTTGGGGGGCAAACTCCAAAGAAACCGATTCTGTGGGAATTTGGACCAAGAGTTCTGAGAGGGGTCTTCCCCAGCATTTTTGTATCGGTCTTTCTCGCTCTCGCCTGGCTTCGCAAAGGAGTGGTATTCCCCAAGCAGCTTCAGAGGCTGTCCTTCGGCCGAAGTTTCAACCAGAGCCGAAGCCAAAGCCCAGAAGCTTTTGGAGTTCTTTTTCCTTTAACCAATTGTAGGCGAGCGTAACATGTTCAATCGCAGTCCTCATTGCTGGACGAAGTGAGGACATTGACGAAGGTTCAATGGCCTGAGACATTGAAGACTTTGAATTTCGCAAGGGACTTCAATCAAAGCCTCAGCGGGATTTCATGGCCGAGCAGCTTGGAGTGCTACTTGGCAGAGATAGATTGATAGACGAGACTTATGTTGCGCATATGTGTTTGTGTACTATTTTTAGATGTTCCATGCACAACAGTTCACCTTTTTGATCTTTTTGACTTCTTTGACAACTGAAGATGGGATGATCACATCCCATGTTGGATGCGCAGATTCACCGGTTTGATGCGAAGCTGTATCTCATGTGTCCTGCGACATATGGATCTATTAATCCAATTGTCTCGAAAGGGGATATCGATTACTGTAAGAAGTAGAACCCACTCAGTGAACAACTGTACCACTCCAGCAGCAGTTCGGCGTTCCACTACTCCTGAAAGTATAAGTGAAAGATGGTTTGGCTCCATTTCCGAGCTCATATACACTGAAATGGAGCCAGATTGCTACTCCATCGAAAGCAATCGAGACGCTCTAAGTCTTGGACAGTCGCATATTCCGATCCTGTGTATGTCAGTTGGTCGGTGCCGTGTATGTCAGTTCAGTCTTTTCAAGGTCTCTCGGTGATGGTATTGCTTCGGCGTAGGAATAGGCTCAACCAACCGCATGAGCGGTTTTGAATGTGTTTGACTTTTGTTTGGAAAGTTGCCGATGTCAAGTCTTTTTGGGGATGAACACAACGCTTCAATATGTGTGATCACTAAATCCAATTCCATCGATTTAGTCCAAACAACGTTCTTTCCCTCCTTCCTTCCTTCCTTCCTTCCTTCCTTCGTTGCTTCCTTTCTTTCCTTCCTTCCTTCCTTCCTCCTTCTCACACTGAGGCACAACTTGGTTGGTCCCCCATGCAAGAACAATTAACTTTGCAGCTTGAAAAAAAAGAATGCATGGAACGTCACAAAAGCCAGAAACTGAGGGCGTGGCCGAGCGAAGATGCAAAGCTGGTTGCAAGTGTGAGGAAGTCAAAGGAGAATTGATTGCAATTTGAAACTGTGGTGGTGTCGTCAAGGCAAAGGACAAATCGTTCCGAGTGTTCTTCGTGCTGGTTATATCAAGTGTTTTGAAACTAGCGTGCAGCCTCGATGCCACCTATGAGAGAAGGCCGGGACGCTATGCCCGGCTTCACAGACAAGAAACCCGATCTGGGCTCTGACGAAGCCTTGGCGCAAAATGCAGACTTTCCAAGAGGCGTCTTGAAGCAACTGGTGAAAGATGGTGAAAGTATACTAACATTCCGTCCAAGAGAAGGAGAGACGTGAACATACAAAGTAGTTCTTGTTTTAAGCATACTTCGCCACAAAAACCGGGCTCGTCCTAGCTGAAGCACCCAGAGAAATGGGCGCAAAGTCTTCGAACGCAGTTGGCCAGTTTGTCCAACGAGTAAGGCCAAAAATGGAAAAACATTGCCGAAAAGGACCAAGACGGCGCGTGTTTTTCTTGCGTTCCGTAGGATGGCGGCTGTTCAAGTTAAGCACGTGGCCCAGACCGTGACGGACGCTCCGGTTTCTGTTTCAGCGCACAAAAAACACCAGGTTGTTTGGGGGGGAACACAGCGGAAGGGCGCTGGTGCTGCAGGTTTGAGCTTTGGTGACTACTTCATCCATCCCTTAGAGTCGTTGCCAGCGTTTCTGCAAGAGCTTCAACTGGGAGAAGAGTTCAACCGGAGCTTGAGGGAGGTGAGCTGGCCCAGCACTTTGCGGAGCCTCAGTTGCCCGGATGGGGACGAGGTTTATCATGCACGATCGTGGGCGGGCTTATTTCACCAACTAAAAGGGGCGGAACCCCCCCTGAAGCCCGTGGTTTTCCCTTGTGAAAGGTAACTGCGCAGTTCCTGGAGAAATGCGGATGGAATTGCTTTGATACAAAGAAAACAAAACACTATGACTACTATATTGTTATATATTATGTTTGTTGGTGACAATAGACCCACCCCTTAAAATTGAATCATCCAGTGGGGTGGGGTTCCAAGTCAGTCGGTGATTCAAAAAAACATGCATGTTGGTTTATTCATAGCGATAGCGATGTGGTTTGTACTGGTTTATTCTGACGATTATATGGAATTCAGTCTGGAAATCGATTGTACACATACCTCGAATCTACTGGCCTGGGCAAAAGGGGCATTCGTTGACGCGAACTCCGAAGTCCTCTATGTTTGTGTTTAACAATGTTCAACATATGTATTTAGAATTACCATAGGCACATACACGTAGAAAAACCTTTGCGCCTAGGATAATTGAATCAGAGGGTGGGGGGCTGGAATTATGGAAGGAGCATACACTGCCCCTGGGTCCCCTGAACCTACTATGGCCTACTACCGGGTTAGACCATGAACAGGAAAAGCACAGGTGCGCACATGGCCCAACACCAGGCGCTTGATACTTTCCTGCAGCATTGGAATTCCTGGGGCCTAATTCAGTGAGAGGGGCCAGATCCATCTGCTTTTTTCTCAATTGCCTTTTTCATCGTTCCAACAAGTTCAAATGTTCAATCGCAACTGAGGTTTTGGCGATGACTTCAGCCAGAGTTGCCTGGCGTATTGGGCGTTCCTCCGTCTTTGGCCCCACGTCTTGGGCGTTCGCACGCTGGCCGCTGGTCCCAGCCGATCGCTGGTTCCCAGCCGTTCTCTGGTTCCCAGCCGTTCTGCACGTTCTCGGGGCATCGAGCCCTTCGGATCCGCGGGTATCCCACTTACTTCGGTCGAACGGGCCACGGTCGCTGTGGGTTTACGAGAATACCTCGGTCGCTGCACCACGTTTGGACACGATGGAGACAAGAACGAGCGGTTTGTTCGCCGTCGCTCCAAACCCCCGGGGGCGTCCAGGAAGCTGGGTGGACTCCTGTTGAAAGGTCATTTGTTTGTTCGTGTCGCGGATGTTCAGCATCGCTCAGATGGATGATTTTCGCTTACAGTGTGGAAGAAAGCTCTTTTGGCCGGGGAAGGTCGATATAGATGCATCTCAGATGAAACTTGCAGTTGTTTCCCTCTAAAGCTTCCACCTGCTTGTTGGTGAATATGTGTAGATTATCTAGATTGTGCTTGCACTGCAAAGGCATCGTGAACCCTTCTTTGGGTCTTATTCAGGACTTATTCACCCATCGCAAAAGGGAGAGTTCTTTGGAGCTCGAAACGAATCTATTTTGTAGAGCTTGCTCAAAGAGGACTTCCAAAAGAATGTGTTTGGTGTTCAAATGACGGCTTTTGCTAGACTTGTTTACAAGGCTTACCCACCAGAGGATGATACTGGTTGCAGTGGACTTGGAGGGGCTAAGGCTAAGAGAATGTGTGTTGTTCTCACATTGTTTGGTCAAACCAAGCCAGCTTTGCCAACAATTGCAGCTCTGGGAAGTTCTGAGCGAGTGATGTTGTTCAACCCGACCTACCGATGTCAAATGATCAAGTCCCATAGTGCCATAGACATTGCTTTACATAGTTGACATACTATGAATGACCCAAAGAAGAGCGTGGGGAAACAGTGATTTCAGCTGAAGTGCGAAACTTGTTCATCGTAGAAGTGAGACCTTCTCATGCATCTTCAGTCACAAGAATCATTTGCAGGCTTGGAAGGGGTTACTCTTCCAAATTGCCTTGAAAGCCTTCGCTTCGGCTATGGCTTCAACCAAAGCCTTGAAGGAGAGGGTTGCTGAGTGTTTCGAAGGCAGTCATTTTTGCACCGGAAAGGTTCGTCTTAGTGAGCGTTTCATGCTTCTGAGCGATTTGTTCCACCGAATCTGCAGTCTCCCATGTGCGTGTGTTATTCAACTAGGTACATGTACCCTGTAAAGTTCCAATATTTAAGGAGTCAGACAATATCATACACCATCCGACAGTAGCCATCCCATGATGTTCGTGTGGAGACTCCCTAGCGGCCCTAGCTCTGAAGGGCGGATGTTTTCGATGAGTTTGGTAGACATATCATATAATTAAGGTACATGAACATGGTACATGGACTAATTACAAAAAAGAGACCTCTTCATGCGTTAATTTAACAAACATCCAAGTTTTCGCGAAGTACTGGCACTGGACATGAGCAATACTCCCTTGACTTGTGTTTCAATCAGGCGTAGATTTGACATTCCTCCTCAATGTTTGTTCAATCAGATCATTTGTTCTCAGGGGTGGTTTGGCCGAAGAATTTGAAGATCATCGCCTTTGGCCACGACTTCAATCAGCCATTGGACCAAGTGACCTGGCCCTCTCTGGAAGTGTTGCAGTTCGGGGACAGCTTCAATCAGCGCGTTTGGTGTACAGCAGTGCCTGGCCTGAAGAGCCCCGACAGAAAGAGAAGAGCTTTGTGCGTCCACCACACATGACCCGCTCCGAACGAAGGCGTCCCAACGATGGACCGAGCGAGTTCGATGTTCTTTCTGAAAACCGGTCCATTGGGGTAAGCCGGTTTGGGTTTGGGGTTCATTAAGATTTGTTTTGCAATGTATAAAGATGATTGCAAAAAACATGTAACATATGATTGTAGTGCGGTCCACCGAAGTCCGAGGAGCCTAACTTTTGGCAAGAGGTTCAATCAGCCTATCGATGGCTTTGTGTGGCCACACCTGGAAACGCTGGTGTTTGGCGCGAGCTTCGACCAGAGCCTGAGAGATGTGAGTCTACCCAGCGGCCTTCAAAACTTGAGCCTTGGTCCTTGCCAAAAATTGGATCAAATTACTTTTCCATCCACCCTCCAAAGCCTCACGCTTGACAGCAATGAGAGTTTGGACGGGCACGGGCGCTTGCCTGAGAAGCTTCAAAGCCTGACGCTGGGTGATAGCTTCAACCAGAGTTTGGAAGCTGTCACTTGGCCGAGGGGTCTTTGGAGCTTGACGTTTGGCAACAGCTTTGATCAACCTCTTGGACAGGTGTCTTTGCCAAGCGGTCTTCAGAGTTTGCGCTTTGGTGATGATTTTGATCAGGACCTCACGCGGGTGGTTTTCCCAGACTCTTTGCAGAGTTTGAGCTTCGGCCTACTGTTCGACCAAAGCCTGCAGCAAGTGACTTGGCCTGAGGGCCTCTTGTGTCTTACCTTGAGTTCTGCATTTGATCAAAGTTTATATGGCATCTCTCTGCCCAACAGTCTCAAGAGCTTGACGTTTGGGACAGGATTCAACCAACACTTGGAGCATGTGGCCCTTCCAAGCAGCCTTGAGAACTTGAGCTTTGGTGAAGCCTTTAACCAGAATTTGGACACAGTTTCTCTTCCTGAGACCTTGCAGAGACTTGTGCTTGGCTTCTATTTCAAGCAATCGTTGGACTTCATAGCCCGGCTTCCCAGCCTCTTGCCTGTGGTTAGCCGATGTTTGCCGTACCTTATATCATTGATTCGACGTTGCCCCTTTTTCTTTCTGTTCCTTTCCACACTGTTTCAGATCCTTTAGCTTTACACAGCATGCTTTGTATGCTTAACTTGCCCCTTTTCAAACTGCGTGGGACACTTCCACGCACGAACACCGAACTGGAGTCCCAGTCACCATACGCCTCAGACACCACGCTTACGCCTCCCGCGCCGTACCCACGCCGTAGCGCCAAGGCCTTCGGACCTTGCAACTGGGTCCGGTGCACCGGAAACTCTTGAGAGGTATCACTTTGCCCATGACTTTGCAAGAACTGCACTTTGGCGACAAGAGAAGTTCATCTCTCTTGATCTCCACGATCTGAGCCGGAAGTTCGAAGAGGAGATTTGAAGATCGGCCGGACTAGGGACGATCGAGTCCAGAGGCCAAAGACCGGAGCTGAGGACCCCGCAAAAAAGAAGCGCTCTTGCAGGGTCGAGCGAGATGTGCTAAAGACAGACTTGGTGGGTGAAGGTCGTTCTTGGCTGGGCTGCAGAAGCTTAAGGTTGGAGTCTGTGAATCCAAGATGAGCAAATAGTCAACTCCATGCAACTGTTCAGCCTGACTCCTTCCAGCGTGGGTTGGTCTATCGACAGACTCCTCGGTCTGTCGCCCAAGAGTGAGGCTTTACCGGTCCCCGAGGCTCTCAGGTTCACCGGTGGTGTTTCTAGCAGCATAGGCATAAGTTGCATAGTAGCATATAGTAGCTGAGTAAACAAAGGCACCGTGGCATGGATCTTGCTGCTACTTGGATCCGCCAAGCATATGTTAATTGTTGGTGAGCTGAAAGTGCGACTCTTGGAAAGTGGAAAACAACCATAGCTTGCAACTCATGTTGACAAAACGCATGCCGTACAGCCACACATCGTGGAATCCATGTCCGTACAGCCACATGTAGCTGTTCAGTGTCGTTGTTCGATGGGTCCCGTCCCCAAGAGTTCATCGTGGAGACCGATCCCCCAGAAGGAAAGTAGATAATGACTAGAACCCAGACTAGGTCGAGTGTCTTATCTATCAGACGTTGGTGAGTCACAAAAGTTTGTTTTATTCTATTTTATATTCCCTAGGGCTCGTACCTTGTCAGAAGGTGTGACTGGACCCTCGCCCTTTCAGGCGATTGCGACGACAGCTGAGAGGGGCCGAACCAACGCTCACTCGAACGCAAAAACTCCATTTCGCCCCCCACGAACGCGTCCGTTTCCCGACGCGAGTTCGGGTGTGCAAAGCGAACGGGTGTGGCAGATGTGTGACGCAGCTGGGCACGAGCGATAGGCAGAATGATCCTTTATATAAAGGCAGAATGATTTGAAGGTTTAAAGGATTTCAGTCTAGGCCTAGGCAGCATGATCCAAAGCGTGGCAGAAGACCGGGCTTGATCCTGACAAGTGTGGCAAAGATCGAAGATTCGAAGAGATTTCCTACATGTCAGTCTATGCCCTGAGAATCCCTGAGAGTCCGATTCCTTTTTTTCACTGGGGGCAAAATATCGTAGTCTTTCGACCACTAGGGTAGGGCATTTGTCTAAGGTGGCTGTGTTGATAGTTGTTGAGCCCTTATGCATCCTTATGCTGAATGGCTTATGGTGATTTCTAGGGCCGCTGCCCATGTACATAGGCGGAACTCCACCGGCGGAGTTCAGAACTTGCAGTTGTAGGTCGGTTCGAGGACACTCCGGAGGTTGTGCTGTTGGCCGTCGAAAAAAAAAAAAAAAACGATGCATCCGAGACCAGAAAACGGATGAACAGCAGGACCTTCCACTCGTGACCTCTTCAGGATTGGTAAGTGACCTCATTCTGGGATCTCAGAAGGTCACTGGGAAGGTCCTGGTAGCTTTTTGTACCCGTAACATGTTGGATAAGACAGTGCATCTCACGTTTTCCGACTCCGTACTAGCCGCAAACATGCCGAACACATGCCGAAACACCATCGAAAGCACGCAAATGACTGCAAATGACAATAGGTACATTTATTAAACATCAAGCTTGTTTGTCAGCAGGAAAAAACCATGGAGCACCTGGAAGAGAAGAGTTTGTATCATACCCTACAGGTCCAAGACCTCATTTTGCTGGAGCTGGTCATACAAGAGCACTACTGTACGTACTATGAGGTAAATGACCAGATTTAATGGGTCAGACTGGACCTGTAGGAAGATCCTTCAACCGTCTTTTTGGCGTCAGGTCCCATTCTCAATGCAGGTTCAGCGACAGCGCAGCCACGAAGTTACTCCAAGCAGTCCTCGAGTCAAAGTCGTGCGTCGGAGTCCGTCAGCTACTCGTACCAAGAGATGTTTTTTGTGACCTGCCTTTTAGAACCCGTCAGCTGGGGTACCCAACTGGGATAGTCAAACTCGGGTTCTTCAACGTTGCTATGTGAGAACCGATGAGGAAAGACACAGCAAAGTTAAGCGTATTTCGGTGCGTGTGTCGGTCATGAAAGGTGACACTCGGACACACACACACACATTGGGAAAACATATGGTGGGTGTAAAAGAAGGTCCATATGGAGGGTTCCAACCATAAAGGATATTGGTGGGGACAATGAGACTGAGTGGGAGTGTTTCAATGAAACTGTGTTTGTGATTGTTTGGATTGTGAGGTGTTCTGGCTGACATGATCTTTGGTTTGATTGGGGAGACCTCCAAGTTCGACCCCCTGGAAGAAGGAACATAGGCCAGTCTACCCATTGGTTGGGGGTTTGCGGTTTGCCTCTAAATTGCGCACCCAAATGGGACAAATCCAAGGTAAGGTATGGGTTAGTAACAGAAACACTGGAGGGTTTTTGAAGAATGAAGTCCACATAGCCAACCTGCCTTTGGATGGATCCTTGAAAGGGTATTGATTCCTCAAAGGACTCAGTTCTGAGTCAAGGGAGTACCACAACTTGGCATGGATCCAAATGATTTTTGTGCGTTTTAGACACTTGGTGCCAGCGTGTTTGCTTTCTGGATGAAGGTCAGACTCCCTTATTGTGTGTGAAATGGTCAGACTGATGCAGAATGAAAGCAACGCATAGAACATTACACTCATCGTGGGAATTGGTGCAATCAAACAATGCAATCAAACAACCAAACGTCCCTCCACTGGTCGTTGTCAGAAGACCATATCATGGTGGCCTTGACCTCTTCCGCCGACCTCGCAAAACGGCCATCTTCACGCGCTCTTTTTCGACCCCCCACCACCTGCCTAACCAAGCCGTGACTCGGACTCCGATGCCCAATCGCACGTTTTTTCCTTGCGTGCTTTCACTGCTTGAACGTCCGGAAAGGTGCCGCGCGATCCGCCGAACACCGCCCCGCGTGCGTCTCTCGAGACGCACGAGCGTCTCAAAGCCGTGAAGACTGGTGGGACAAGCTGGAAAAGATGATGTCTTTTTGCAGTGAACATGATACCCCTGCAAACTCGCATGGAACCTGAGAATTCATCCGTAGAAGACCATGTCCCTTAGACCATGGGTGGTGTTATATAAGGGGAGTCACTCTCTACGACCTTATACGATCACTTGGGGTTAAGGATCGGTATAAACCGATTCGGTCAATGTGGTGGGTGCTTGTGACCCACTTCTTGCGGCGGATCCGACCCCTCAACGGGTTCTGGGCTCCAGGATGGCTGCAGGCCACGAGCCAGCACACCTTTTTTTCGGACCTGTTGTGGTCGTAAAACATCTTCAACAGAACATGCATTAGAGGATGTAAGGGCTCCCCCAGCAAAACATATAGTTGAACTTGTTCAAAGCATCGAGTGGAGACCCGTGTTACTAAGTAGTTGGGGATGGGCTTCATTGGACATGTCCAACCCCTCATGCTTTTTTGAAGATACAGACTTGCCATGTCCAACAGATTCTTCACAGGGAAGTTTATGTGCTTGAGGGTATGAATTCAACTACATCCTAACTCTCAAAACCACGGTCCGGGTATGTTTATTTCGGTACTCGAGCTCAAAGTTCTAGTTACAGGTGGAGACTGATCTCCCATTTCCGCAGTCTTTCTCGTTGAAACCATCCGACGGGCTGCGGGCGTGTGCTCGGCGGAAATGTTCAATGGGCATGTTCACCGATGGAAGGCGGGCAGGCAGAGTAAGATGACCATCCAGCAAACAGACCATGTGTTGACCTTAGGGCTGCACGCCTGATTTCCGGGAGAGCGCCACTCTTCAAACCTGAGTTGGTGCGTTAACTAGCATAATCTAGCATAAATCGTGACATACGGTTTCAAACAACATGAAACAACGAACGATGTGACAGTGCTTTCAGATCAAGTCTGGGTTCATCCATTCAGATGATCACATGCCGCCGCCAAATCCATCTTTGAACTCGTGCTGGCGGCCGAGTAAGTGAGCGGCTAGGTGTTCGGTCCTTTGCAGGAATAGAACTGTGGCGACTATACCTAGAACTTGAGTGACCCCTGTTTTGGGAGGATCAACTACTGTAAAATATGTAATTTTCCTATCCTTAGAAGGATGTCAAAGGGGCTTCTTTTCGGTGATATGCTTTTCGTCCAAGCCACACCAGCGAGTTTGGGTTCTCGACACCCGGGAGGGCTGACGATGAGAAGATACCATCCAACCGAACCGGCCGCCGAGCGAGAACATCGGCACCTGCCTTTATGAGGTTCAAGCTGAAAGTCCGGCGACATTCGATGAGGTTGACGAAGGTCACCGGCGAAGGTTAGTGCAGTAAAAGTGGCGGAGGCCAAGGACTGGAGACTGGAGGGGACTGGGAGGCCCAGTTTTGGGAGCGGAGAGGAGGATGAAATGCATTGCCTGGATGATTACGGCAATACTGTCTTTTTCACGACATCTTCTCAATATTTAAATTTGTAATAATTTGTATAATATATATATATATGTTAGAGAGACGTTCCGCATTTATTTCGTTGCGCGTGTCAGTTCGCACAGAAACTAAACGTCCAGCCATTTAGTTTTTTTAGTTTTCTTTGTAAAACTACAGGGCTAGACTCCTGGACATTTAGTTTTTTTAGTTTTTTT